CTGCTAACTTCTTGCCAGTTCTTGAGTCAGCTAGCCACTAGCCTGCTAGCTTGGTCTTGCTAGTTCCTGAATGAAATGAATGAAATGAAAAATACTTTATTTATCCCAGAAGGGAAATTCAATCAGCTAGACACTAGCCTGCTAACTTCCTGCCAATCCCTGAGTCAGCTAGCCTGCTAACGTCCTGCCAGTTCCTAAGTCAGTTAGCCACCAACCTGCTAACTTTCTGCCAGTTCCTGAGTCAGCTAGCTACTAGCCTGCTTACTTCCTGCCACCTCCAGAGTCAGCTAGTCACTAGCCTGCTAACTTCCTGCCAGTTCTTGAGTCAGCTAGCCACTAGCCTACAAGCTTGGTCCTGCTAGTTCCTGAATCAGCTAGTCACTAGCCTGCTAACTTCCTGCCAGTTCTTGAGTCAGCTAGCCACTAGCCTACAAGCTTGGTCCTGCTAGTTCCTTATTAAGCTAGTCACTAGCCTGCTAACATCCTGCCAGGTTTTGAGTCAGTTAGTCACTAGCCTGGTAACTTCCTGCCAGTTCTTGAGTCAACTAGATACTAGCCTGCTAACTTCCTACCACCTCCAAAGTCAGCTAGTCACTAGCCTGCTAGCTTGCTGCTTCCTATCTCTGACTGAACCGGACCGGACCTCCATCCGCCTGTCCTCTAGTCGTGACACCTGCCGTTACATCCTTCTGTGTAACCTTCTCATTGTGGACATTCTGTATATGGCAGTGAGTCAGGTATCGTACCAGCTCTCTGTTTGTAAAGTAACAATGCTGTGTCCCGTATGTGGCTTTCTCACCGTGCTCACCATTCTCATAGGTGGGATTTCTCACTCTGCTGGTGATGTCCGTGGAGAGATTCACGGCTGTGTGTTACCCACTGAGATACGCTTCCATCATCACTGTCAGAAACACAGCGGTGGCCATCGTTTTGATTTGGGCCTTCTGTTCTCGAAACGTTCTCATTTGAGTTCTTCTGCTTGTACAGTTTAGTTTTGAAGGCCTGCTGACACAGCGGTGGCCATCACAGCAGTGTGGGCCGTCAGTTCGCTGAATGACCTCACTTGACTCCTTCTGTCTTTTCCATTTCAGAAATTGAGGATTCTGCAGGTGAAAGATCTTTGTTCTAACATAGCCGTGATGCTTGGATCCGTGTCTCGTGAATATGACGAAGCCTTCACCTGTGTTGTGTTTGTGTCGGCCGGCGTGGCCATCACCTCCTCCTATATCGGTGTTGCAGCAGCAGCCAGGTCGGCCTCCGCAGACAAGACTTCGGCCCGGAAAGCTCGAAACACGCTGCTGCTGCATCTGGTGCAGCTGGGCCTCAGCCTGTCCTCCACCATCTACAACCCGCTGCTCATCGCTCTGTCCAGAACCGTGACCAGGATCGTGCTGGTGGGAGTCCAGACTGTTTTGTACATGTTGCCACAACCCAGCAAATAGGTAGTGGCAAAAGAGGGGAGACGACACAAGTATTGCCAGATTTAACATAAGTTTTTATTCATATTAGTTAAAACAATGCTGTCAAAGTGAGGTGTGTATGTCAGTGATGTCAGTAGTGTGGGTGCGGATATCTGGGTGCTGGGATGTGAAACCAAACCAAAATGACACCAAACCAAATCACGAGCCTGGAAGAGAGAGAGTGCAGGAGCTGAGGGGTTGGCCCTTTTATAGCCTGGGCCCGAGCGTGCCAAGCAGGTAGGACCGCCCACTCAGTCTCCAGCAGTCTAGGGACCTGAGGAAACAGCCAAACACCCAAACACAGACAGCCAATGTGCCCAACCAACAGACAAGGTGGGGCCGTCACAATGTTTACTTTCCTTCTCCCCAGGTGTCTGAGTGCCCTCGTCTATGGACTCAGAGACCAGAGCGTCAGACCCATCCTTGTGAAAACTGTCAGTCATCACAGCAAAGGCCGAGGTTTCCGCCGACGACACATGAAGAGACCGAATCCAGATTGTCATTTGAATGACTTTAGAAGTCGGCATTTAGAAGAAAAAAAAGGAATCAAACTCATTTTCCTGTTGTGTTTTTTTCCCTTTCGAGTGCAGCTGTAGCTTCGTCAGTATTTCTTGTCCTTATTGTCATTCAGAGAGTCGCTGCAGGCCTCAGTGATGTGAAAAGGGTTCGTTCAAGTTGCTTTTGTTTCACTGGATCCAGAGATGTGTGGTGTAGTCGCAGATCCTCACGTCTAATATTCTCCCGCACATTCCTCACTTCTTTCATCTCCACGGTTGGTCAAACGCACATTATTGTTTAAAGTTAAAGAAACAAGACAATGTCACATTTCACGATTTGTATGGCCCTCATGTGCGGCACTTCTTTTTCCCATTTATGCTGGAGTTGCACAAACTCCAATATAAGCAGTCAGTTCGACTTGTTGCCTTTTACTTAACTGTTCAGCAACCTTGGAGAAAGCATTATACTGTTTACTCAGCTGATCTCACAGAAACAAAAGTCTGATTAAACTGCGTTACAGTTTTATGCATTTCTATTTACATGCAGCCTGTTTAAATAAAACAGTGCAGTTTGAACTCTACAGAAATAAAGGCACAGTCAGTAAAATTACTGCAGGAGCAGAGCAGCAGAATGTGGGGAGGAGAAGGAAGCCGATAGTTTCCTGAGTATTTCAGAAAAAGAGTGAAAGCAGTGCATCGTTCTTTAAATGTGAGCGCTGATTGGATTGTAAATGTGATGAATGTAGTTGGATTTTGTTGTAATTCACGAATGTTGTTCCTCTAAAACCTTATTTTCATATAAAATGTTTCAGACGTTACAAGCCCTCTGAAATGTCATCAAAACAAGAATCTGAAGAATCTGCATAAATAATTATGACTTTTCTTTTTTTTTACTCTGTGTCTATTTTTTTATTTATTTATCTCAATTTGTTTATTTACTTTCAACAATAAAATAAATGAAGGCAAATTTGGTTCCAAGTATTTCTAAAATGTACAATAATTATTTATGTGTGTGCTCTTTTTATTTTGAGGAGATTCCAGAGAGCTTATAAAATAAGTAGAATTATTAACTGTAAATATGCTTTTAGAAAAATAACATTTCTGAATTAAATCCCATTGTACTCATTACATTTACAAAAAATATTTTTTACATTCAAAATATAAAATAAACACACAACGAATATTATTTAGGATTTGTAAATGTATGTAGCATATTGGGTATAAATAATAATAATAATAATAATGATAATAATCTGTTTTAAATACATACATACATACATACAATTTAATAAATTAATGCGGTATTCAATTATGTATTTCATTATTTAGATAGTATTTGTTTTCAAATGTTTAATAATTACATTTTTTTTTTTAATTCCATCGTTTTTGAAAAATACATACAATTTAAAAATATAAAACGCAACATTTATTAATATACTTATATGTATAAATGACATCCAAATCATTTTTATTTATTGTTTAAATATATACAATTTAAATAATAAACAGCGTCTGTTGTTGTATTCGGTGCGGTACTTGCGTCATCGGCGTCGTGACGTAGGACGTATGAAAGTGCGTGCTGACGGTTGCTGGTGGACAGTTTTCCCTCCTCGCGGACGAAGCTAAGCTGATGTTCAGCTAAACACACTTCCTTTGCTGAACCTTTGTGGACTCCTTGGCTTCACCACCGCAGGAGGACGGCGGACAGAGAGACCGAACACCGGTATCGGCGCTGTTCACGGTAAATGTTGGTGAAAGTCGCGGCTGTTCCTTTTCTGCCTTCGTTTGTTTTCCAAAGTTAGCGGCTGCGCTAGCTAGCTAGCTAGTTAACAGGCTAACGTTAGCTTGACGCAGGTAACTTGTAACTGTCAATAAGACGGTAAATATCCGACAGTGGTTGATATTGATGTGCTCGCTGCCCGGTAACATTAGTAGCTGGTTGTCTGGCAGTTCGGTTCGTGCGGTGAATCCACTCAGCGAACTTGTTGTTAGCTGGAACCGATATTACGCTACCAGCGTTAGCTGCCCGAGTTCAGGTGCGGTTTCTAACTGGCCTCGTCTGGTTCGGACTCGCCCTGGTTTGGTTCCCAACTAGTTTAAACTCACCCAGCGTTCACACACACGTGACGTTAATGTTGTGTTTTGGATTAACGGCGCTGACTATCGGTGCAGCCCGGTTAGCTGCACGTGGGGGTCAGGTGAGGTAGCGAGGGCTAACCGGGCTTCGTCTCAGTTGTAATGTCTGGTTGTGTGCCTCCGGGATTCAGAGAAACGCAGCTGCTCTCTGTTGAAAGCTGTTCTGCAGCTTCATCTTCCAGACATCCAACTGATTCAGTGACGACACTCGGACTCCCACCGACCCGAACCCTAACCCGCACATGTCGGCTTCATTGTGTCTCCAAACACCAGCCGTCGTCCCACCGTTTCCTCTGATCTCGATCAGGAGGACTCCAAATTCAGTTTGTTGTGAACCTCCATTCTTTTTGGGGTTGGGGTCGAAATGATAAAAACACTGTTCTAAAAATTGTGACGTTTCTCAGATAGAAGTGCAGTGATTCTTCGGTTGGTCGTCAACTAGTATTTTATTAATCATCTGTGTTCACAAGGGACTAATCAGGAAACGCTGCTGGAACAAAGAGAACATTGATATTATTACAAATTTGAGGAATTTGTCAAACAAACATAGCGTCAGGTTTAAAATAAAAAAATCCAGTGACACCTAGATCTGGAGTATTTTAACATGCCAGACAAGTTCTTGTGTAACTGTAATCACCATTTATTGCCTGCCTGCAGTAACTGTAATCAGATTATTATTTTGTATCAAGGAACCGGTTTCGTTTTCAGTTTAAGGTTAAAAAGGAGAAGCAGGTTTATGACTAGAGCCTAACCAATACTGGATTTGTGAGACTTTTCATATATATATATATATATATGTGTGCATACAAAGTTCAATAACTTATTAAATATTAAGTGTGAGACATAACAGGAATATCTGTTATATCAAACTGGTTTGAATGGATTAATCTTGATATTTAGGTGTATCAAATATAATGTAGGGGAAGTTTTACATCAATCATAAAGTCTTTACTCTATTCAAGCTAGCTGTGACGTTCATGTGCTGCGTTTTTCCGAATCGTTATTTTAGTGGCTTTAAATCCAAAAAATTCATCTTACTTTTCGTAATGTCACTGTTAATGGTTGCAAACAGTAGCTCGGTGGTCGCTACTTCTACATGAAGGTAGGATTAGCGTCTTTATTGTAAACGTTCAAAGGAGCATTTCTGCGTGTCTGGACTAACTATGTAGTATCACCGCTTTTTTACTTATTCCCAGCCTGTTTTCTGCTTTATGTTACTTAGAAATAAGCTTTTACATCGAGACGACCTGTGTGCCGGTACTAATGCATCTACAACAGGCCTAAACTATCAGTGGTCAGGTAGATTAGTTTGGTTCTAGTTTGGATTCTGTCTCCCATTATATGTCGATAAGAAAACCGCTAAATGTTAACCAACATATTTCCAGCTGAGATATTGTTATAAATGTTTTAAAACTTTGCTGCTGTATATGAACACAGATGTCAGTTTGACCTGATTTATCTTGTTTGTCTCTGTACAGAAGACTTATGCGGTCCTTCTAGCAGGGCAAGATGTTCAACAAGTCATTTGGAACTCCCTTCGGTGGAGGGACGGGAGGGTTTGGAACCTCATCGACATTTGGTCAGCAAAGTAAGTTGGCTTGTGTGTGCGCTTTGAGGTGATTTTAATCACAAGTCGCTGTCACATCAACGTGTCCTCATGTGAACTGTGTTTCTGCAGACACAGGTTTTGGGACGACGGGAGGTTTCGGGACATCTGCATTCGGGACGACCACTAACACCGGAGGACTGTTTGGTTCTACACAGAATAAACCAGGTTTGTTTCATTGGCTGTTATTAGATTCAAAAAGCAGGCAAGTGTTTATGTTGTTTGGCTCTTTAGGGTCTGAGTACTGCAGAAATAAGGTTTTGCCTGCTGAGACAACACCATCCTGCACATCAGTGGTTCTGCTCAGCACTTTGGCTCTGAGTGTTAAGGCCACTTTAGATTTATGGTGTTAATGGACCCTCTCAGGTGGTCTGGACCAGGGCTGCTTTTTGTCCCCAAAGTCCAAACTAAACCCAGAGAAGCTGTTTATGGGTCGCCGTCTTATCCGGTTGAGCTACCGGGCCACCCATAGTATATATATATTCTATTCTATTCTAAGGCATTCTATTCTATTCTATTCTATATATATATATTTTTTTTTTTAATCGATCGCCAAAATTTCAGCATGCATCATATATGATGTTTTTTTTTTTTTGTTAGTTTTTTTTTTTCAGGGGAAAAAATTCTTTGCTTAACATCGTGCTATTTTACAGAATTCACTTTAATCTATATGGCTCCTTAAAAAATGTGCAAAAACTAGACAATTTACACCAGGTCCAGTACACAAAAAAAGAGAGAGAGAGAGAACTAAGTCTCCATGACGGACTGAGTTGTGACCAACAGGGGAACATTGTGAGAGTTTACAGGTTGAACTGCAGGCAGTGTTTCCTCAGAGAGACTGAGAGGAAAATCCACTCTACTGGATCAGTAAATGAACGCAGCATGGCTCAGAACCAGAGAACAGAGGAGCCAGCTGTTGGAGATACATTCAGCTGATGGTGGAACATCTTTCTACAGATGATGTGCAGAGTTTGTAAACAGTTAAATATCTGTAGTATGTGGAGCCTCCCTTCTTGTCCAGGATTAGAAGCACCTGTGGACACTTGGAACAGTGTTGGACAAACACATTTACTTTAGCCTGTACAAGACACGTCAGTGCACGAATGGTGTTGATGAAAGGAGGTGAGGTGTTGTTTAAAAGCTGAATTAATAAACTCTGTCCCTGTTGCTTCCTCCAGGTGGTCTTTTTGGCTCCAGTACGTTCAGCCAGCCGGCGACTTCCTCCACCAGCACCGGCTTCGGTTTCGGTGCAGCGAGCGGCACCTCCACCAGCCTCTTTGGCAACACTGGAACGGGCACCAGCGGCGGACTTTTCTCCCAGCAGAACAATGCCTTCGGTGCCAACAAGCCCACCTCTTTTGGAAGTGAGAACCCTCCACACTTTGTTCTGTTATTTGTCTGTTATTGAACTTACAAGACCTGTCATTAGGTTTTACTTCTGAGCTCCATGTTTATGAACAAGATAACCGTAAAAAAATAAGATGTCTCCTGTTCCATTTCCAAACTCCTCATGCCCATTTGTCATTTCGTTTTGTTTTCACTCTGAAGAAACCTCCCTATCTTCGTGTCCTCCAGGCTTTGGGACGAGCACCAGCAGCGGCGGGCTGTTTGGGTCGACCAACACCACCTCCAACCCCTTCGGTGGGACGAACTCACTGTTCGGAGGCTCCGGGTTTTCCGCTGCGCAGCAGCCAGGAACCACCGTGAAATTCAATGTGAGTTATTCTGCTGCAGCTGCATCACCTCCCCTTAGCCCTACATAATGACCCTAAACATGCTCAGAGTGTGTTCAGGTTTCACGCTGTATAAATTTATCATTAACACACGTTTTCTTCTGAAGTTTAGTTAGTAGTCGGAAGCTGAAGTTGCAGCTTAACGTCTGCTGACACCAGATCATTTCTTGTTTGTGTGAAACATTTAGGCCCCATATTGACTCAGATATAAAGAAATATTATTTTCTTAAAATTAGGTTTGAGAACATCTGAGGAGGAGGAGGAAGGGGACAGTTACACATTGATAGACTCAGAAATTAGCGATGGCAAAAATGCTCAGAGAAATCTCAGAATGCCTCCAAAACAGTGACAGAGGCGCAGAAATCAAAAGATCTATAAGCCTACTTGTGTGTAATTCTGTCAAACAACAACATGCATCAGATCACAATTATGAAATCAGGAGATCTGACATTATTCCCAAAAACCCAAACTTTACTGCTCCAAATTTTGCGTTCTGACGAGTTCCTGATCAGAGTCCTGGTTCCGGGTAACTGGCTGAGTCTTAGGCTGAGAGAGGCCTTCTGCTGAGCTTTCTGTTTGCTCATCCCGGCACATGTTGCTGATTTACTGTGTATGTTTTAATCTGGGTGCATTTAGCTCCTGGAAATTTTTATAAATTTTACAGCTTTGTGGGAAAAAGTTGCCCCCAAATATTTTTTAAAATGTCCTGCACTGCATGTTGTCAGATCAGTGACAAAAAGCATTTCCTTCTACAGAAAACAAGAAATGATCAGTTGCTTGTGGTGTTTCCAATCAGGTCATAGTGAATCTTTCAGTAAAGTGTTTTTAAAGACTTCTCCAGCGAGCGAAAACAAGTTCAGGAAGACTCCGACGTCTTTACTGACAGCAGGGAAAATGATAAAAGGAGTTTATCAGCTCGAGAGGCAGACGGGTGAGTGTGAGAGTCTGCGGCCGACAGATAAGATGCTTCACCTCTTTGAGGGAAGAAAGTCTTGTATAACAACGATGAACGTGATCTCAGGAAAGGTTTCCCAACAGGACAAGTGTCAGTGTTTCTCTCCTTTCTCAGAAGAAAGCATTTCACGATTTCTTTTTAGTTCCTCCTTTTCTTCAGCGTGTCCTCAGATGCAAAGGTCTGCACATTTACAAAGCCCACGACAAAAGGAGTTCCTCTCTGCTCTTTACCTGCCTGAGACTCCATGTTTAAAGTCCAGGCTTTTCTTCCGTTAATTATCTATGTCAGCGTGTAACACCTAACGTCTGACTAGCAGTGTGTAGATTTGTGGGGTATTGTTCAGAACTGGTGTGCCCGAGAGCATTGTGGGGATTTAGCTAGCAACACATCACCATGACAAAGGCGTCTGTGGCGGTTCATGGCTTCCGGCATGTGTGGCTAATGAGGACGAGCTGATTGTTTTGTGCCAAACATCAATTATCTGCTGTTAAAAATGTCTTCAAAAACAGCCACTGCTTCATTTGCTTTAATGACTATTTGATTGACGACCTGACCAGATGAGAAAATTGTAAAATTTGCATCTCTGATTTGTTGCAATGCTAGAATACTGTGCGACGCTGAAGTTGCACGACTGTTATCGTTTTTAGTGAATAAGTGTGTCGGATTATCAGGGAAGGTTTCTCAGGTTTTATTGCTTTATTCACAAGAGTGTGACCTGCCCTGGATATGAACGGCAAAGTATTAGTTTATTAAGGCGGGGCAGTCGCTTGGCAAAACAAACAAACAAATAAAAAATAATCAGCAGCTGTCCTTATATTGGGGAAGCACTGAATGTCCAAATGAATGGATTTTTAATGTTATTTTTGGAATGAAAGATGGATTGTTTTGTCCTGGCAGGAGGCTCTTGTTAGCCTAGCTGTACAGTTGTCGTGGAAACGCAGAGTTGTTGGCGATTGAAATGCAACTTGGAACAGTTTTCTTGCAGACTAAAGCAGTCAAGCTTGTTCATACGTTTTCAACATTATTCTTTTTATTTTTTTCCCCCAATCTTTCAGCCCCCAACCGGAAGTGACACGATGGTGAAAGCAGGCGTGACCACGAGCATCAACACGAAGCATCAGTGCATCACCGCCATGAAGGAGTACGAGAACAAATCCCTGGAGGTGAGTTCTCAGCTGATGTGGTGTTTTCAGGGCCAGTAGCGATTATTACGTATACTGATATATATGTTGAAAGTTATACATGACCAGCATGTGACAGCAGAGGACCTGCCATTGATGACAAGGTCACTTCATTGGTGAGGATTACTGTAACTGAGTAAGTACAGCAGTAATAGAAGTGATGGTGTCAGACGATGGGGTGCTCTCCTCTGTTCACTGTTAGCATTGCCTTAGCTGCTGTGAAAGCAGCTGGTGTCCTGATTTGTGGTGATTTCTGTACTTCTTGTTCAGTTTCTGGAGGTTTTTTTCTCTGCTAGAGAGGCATTTATTGCAATTAGAACAGATGGATAAAGATGATTTGACTTTAGGAAGAAGCTACAGTACTCCAGATAGCGCTAGCAGCAGGCTAAGAGGCACAGCAAAACCCCTCGTGATAGTCTTAGCCAGGGCTCCAGACTAACTTCTTCACTGGTGGCACTGGTGCGACAAACCCTCTTATTTAGTCGCACCTCCCACCTTGTCGCAGGCGAAACACATCACTTGTTGAACATCTGTTTATCGATAAACACTGGTCCCTAAACGCCCCACATTGCAGGCTGTGGTAGCTGCTGTTGGTGGCTGTGATGTGCTCAGACAGGTGTGTGACCGAAAAATGCTTTGAAAAGAGTTACACTGGGGTGTTATAGAGTCAGATTTGTCTGAGGTGACAACAGAACAGGTCTGGAGTCCTGGCCTTTAGCCTCCAGCTGCACCGACACCAACAAGAGATTGAGTCCAGCATTTTCAGTGCAACAGGCAAACTGGCCATGTTTTATGGGTGAGTTGAAATATGGGCGAAGTTTAATCTTTGAGCAAATAACTGATAATACAGGAGTCAACTAATGATGATTTCTGAACCTTATGTAGTTGCATGTCAAAATGTTACAAACCAAACATAGATAACACTTTATATTTGAAATATTTTGTCACAAAAATAGAAAAATGTGTTTTCATTTAACTTGCATAACTGATTGAGCAGGTATGACAGGTTGTACCACATGAATTAAAACATTTCCAGATGGCCTGATCAATGTAGATCAGAGTCCTGGAGTGAAAATAATTCTCAAAATATCAATACTTATGAATATTTTTCATTTTCGGACCCCATTTTATTGACAGAAACCTTTGTTTAGAGACTTGTCATGCAGTTTTGTGTAATTTTGTTAACAATTATTATGGCATTAGATCATGAAGAGGACATCAGCATGATATGATATTATAAGAGTAATCATGTTTTATGCTATAAAACTCAAAGGCAGATCAGAGATCTTTAAGCAGAAATCATTTTTGAAATCGACCAGGATGTGTTTGGGTTAATTTGCCTTAATTGATCTCTATGTTGATGCTGAAACGATGTATTGTGCTGCACCATTGTGACCTGATTTCTGTCGCTCTGCCTGCAGGAGTTGAGGCTGGAGGACTACCAGGCAGGCAGGAAGGGCCCGACCAACCCGATGGCTCCAGGGACGGGCGGCCTGTTCGGTCCAGCCACTGCCACGTCCAGCGCCACAACCGGCCTGTTCGGCTCCACGGCCCCCAACGCCAGCTTCTCTTTCGGCCAGAACAAGAGCACCTTCGGAGGCGGTAAGTGATGATGAAGACACGAGCTGGGTGCACTTCAATTTTTTTTCTTAAATTCACTCTTGGAGCCGGTGAAGCCACATGCTGCGTCTTTGTCCTCTTTGCAGCAGCTACCGGCGGTTTCGGTGCAACCACAGGGGGTCTGTTTGGCGGTCAGACCCAACAGCAGGCCAGCAGCCTCTTCAAGCCCTTCGGTCAGACCACCACCGCACAGAGCACCGGCTTCTCCTTCGGCAACACCAACACGATGGGACAAGCCAACACCAGCAGCATGGTGAGAATGTCTGCGCTCACTTGGGCTTAGGCACGAAGTCCTGATAACAGTGTGTGCGTCTCTGCAACTTTGATTTTCGTTTGATTGTTTGAAGTTTCTGATTTCACAAATATATTCCGTTTGTAGCTGCAGCAGGGAAAAGATTCTGTTAGTGTATGAGGAAATATTGAGAAAATGTAGATGAACAAGCACAAGTTGCTTAAACTTCAGCACCGGCTCTGTCCAGTAAATGTTCAGTAACTAAGCACAGAGGCAGAATGCACAGCAGCATGTTTTCAGTGGCACAAAGGTGTCTCTCCTTTAACCTGTTGGATCTCCGTGGTAGCTGATACTGTGGAGCT